AATGGAGTGGTGTTCCTGTTCAGCACCGGCACGGGCACGCTCTAGCGCGGCTTCTCTTGCGGCAACAAGAGACTGGTTGTACGTAGGGTCGATGTAGAAGCAGGTAGTGTGAAGAGACTTGACGAGGCGGGTAAGCTGAGAGCGGACAATCTCAGAGGGAGTGCTCTGGAGACGCTGGACAGAGCTGCCGTCAGCCTCAGCTGAGCCGGCGGAAGATCCAGCATGGGCAGCCTTGGCGGAGGAGAAGACATCGTTGTCAAAGCTGAGGACGCCGGTGGCGTGGTCCATGCGGATGGCCAAGTCACCCTTCTTGTTACCGTTCATGATGAACTTCTCAATGGTGCCGCGAGTAACCTGGAAAGGCTCGGGGAACTGAGCAAGCTTCTCAACAAAGGCCAAGTCAACAGTCTCGTACACCTGGGAGAGCTGCTGGAAGAGTCTGGTGAGGATGACCTGCTGCAGAGGCAGGATGTACTTCTCCATTTCGGCATCGTCACCGATCTTGGTGAGAATAGGGGAGATCTTCTGGCAAATGGAGAGAGGGTGGAAGTCAACCTCGAGGATGTTGTACAGATCGCGGATCTCAGGGCGAGCGCGCTTCAGCATCTGCTTAGCGAGGGCATCGCGGAAGAGGCCAGCACGGGTAGGGGCCTGGCCCATGCCGAGCAGGTGCGTAAGGCGGGCGTTCTTGTTCTTGCGGGACTCATCGAAGTCAACCATGGCACCGCGGGAGCGGGTGGTGCTAATGACAGGGATGGCGAGAGCAGACAACAGGACGAAAGAGGCGGCCTTCTGAAGGTCGTTCTCCGTAGCGGGAGGGTTGTCGGCCTTCTTGCCCTGTCCGCTGGCAACGACAGCGGCGGACTGGCGGAGAAGGGTGTAGTATCTGGACCAGGCGGCGGCGTGGAAGAGGTAGTTCTCGCCGACAAGGAAGATACGGGTGAGCTTCTCGTAGTAGTTGGCCATCATGATGTTCTTGGGAGGGCGCTTGCTGAGGTTGAGGAGAGTGTGGATGTCCTCAACGGAGCGGAAGGCCTCCTGCCAGAGCTCCAACTCGACGGCAACGTTGAGCTGCTGGAAACGGGTCTCCAGGTGACGCTGCAGGGTGTCGGGGTCGCTAAGGTTGATGGCGTGCATCTGCGCAGAGTACTTGGCGGCAGTCTGAACATGGTTGCGGAGCAGCTCGCAGAGTCTGCGGAACTCGGTCTTGCGGGTATACTTCAGGCAGAAGTCGAAGGCCTGCATGGCAGTGCTCTGGTAGAGGATCTCGAGACGGGCATTGTTGCGGAGGATGTCGAGAACGGTGCGGTATGCCTCCCAGAGGAACTTGAGCCACGGGGTGACGATGGCACGGTCAGTACGGTCGCGGGACTGCTCGCCGGAGACGGTGGCAAGGAGGATGGACTCGGGTGTTTCGCTAGCCTCCAAGTCGTCGACGTTGGTGGTGGAGGTGTTGGCCTCGATGCTGGACTGGACCTCATCGGCCTTGGCCTGGGCAACAGTGACCTTCTCGGCGGCGAGCTCGATGAACTTCTTGAGAACCAGCTGCGCATATCCCTGTTAGCAACGGTTGCCCTAACCCATTTTTAAGGCGGCGAGACGGCTTACCTCGATGGTGCCGATATTGGTGTTCTGGCTGATGTTCTTGTACTGGTAAAGGGCATCCTTGGCCAGCTTTCCCTTCTTCTGTTCGACGGAGAGCTCCACCAACAGGAGCATCACCGGCTCCAGCGACGCGATGGGAACATTTCGGCTTCTCTTCGAGGTGATGTGCTCGTGGAGGAGGGTAAGGGCGGCTGGGACTTGGTTGACGCCGATGAGCTCGTGGGCACGCTTGAGGACGTTCTCCGGCTTCTGGTGAGGTGGAGGAGGCTATAGCTTATTGTCAGTACTTCAGTTCGACAACAACGGCAACCAAGATGACGCCCCGTGATAGCAAGGTCGGAGAGGGGTAGCGTCAAATCCATGTGGGAAATTTTGGGCAGGCGGGCCCAGAGGTCGACAAAGCGAATAGAGGAACTCACCATGATGGGCAACCTCCTCTGCGGGAAAATACTATTCTCGAGAGGGTCCTTGGTTTGAGGAGTTGCAGCGCAAGCCTTTTCGTGCGAGCGGGATATTGACTTGGCTGTCGCTCGGTGCGTTGGCGTTGATGCTATACACAGCAAAGACGAATTTTTCAATTTCGTGTGTGGCCGCTATGCGAGTCCTGAGGGGCTCCGAACGTCCGTGCGTTGTGCGAAACGGAGATCACGTGGTCTTGGATTATGTCAGCCGAGGCTGACTGGTTTATTCGAGGCCTGCTGCACCTTCCCGTCCCTTCAGTGCAGTCGTCCCGTCCCAAATCACCAGGCACGAAAGGACTGAGGTACCTCCGAGGTCATTTGTTGTTGTGTATGGCTCATTACAGTGACGGGAACGAGGTCGCCGATTACATTGTTGAGATGATGTCCAATTCGAGTGAACATTGCGCTTGCCGTTGCGCTAAGTCTCCTCGAAACCTTCCTTCCCGTCACTTCATTTGATAGGTCCCAACCGTGATTTTCAGACTTACTTGCCAGCCTTGTCGGTTTCTAGTCCAAAGCCTCCCCGAACTTTCTTTAATCCCGGATACAGACGGGGGCATGCTCCCGTGGTACTCCACCGAGACCGAGGTAGACGGTAACTTCACACACATTTTTTTTCGGTAGAGCGGGAAGATCGAGAATCACCGATCTTGAATCGTATCTCCTCACTTCCAACTTACAGGCACAGGGGGCATGTGCATAGTTATACATTATTGAACGGCTGGGGCAGCAGTATGAATTAGTCTCCCGGACAGGCGTACAAGTTATTAGTACCTCTTGCGTAAGTATGAACGTGTCGTCACTTTGGTTGAGCTGGCAAAAAGTCCACGTTGGACAGAACTAGAAAAGGACCGATATAGATTGGTACATCTCCTATGAACATTCCTGATATAGAGAATGGCGCGGTGGGCATCTCTCACGAGCCTGTTCTTTCAGCTAGCCCCTCGGCAGCTCTCCGTTCTTTGTCTGGCCGAGGGCCAAGGGTCGTCAGCTCAACTGAAAACGTCATGAGGGAGAGTTCCATGGCACGTCTCGATGTTAAAAGCAAAAATGTCGTTGACACCCTATCATACATACGGCGGTCCTCGCAAACACTTCGCGACATCTATTGGCTTCGGCAGCGAGGCGAGCCGGATAGAGAGTGCCGCACGATATATGGTAGACTGCTGTAAGAGTCGGCAGTGCATAAAGTAGTCAAAGTCTGATCGAGATGCCGGGTCTTGGTATGGCAGTTGGGCACGGGAAGAGCAAAAGAAAGGGGAAGAAAAACGAAGGCCAAAGGTTGGGTTCGCCACATCTGATGCCCAAGATGTGCAGCTCATCCATCGTCATCAACACCACATGCTGGGACTTGGAGTACTCTGTACAGTCGTGATGTCGCGTCTCGTGCTCGTCGCCATGACTGTATCCGTGTTCTATGGGCGCAATCGGGGTGCCGGTCAACTAGGGGAAACCCAAATGTGGGAGATTGCCCGCTCCGGCCAATTTCCAACCAATCCCGCCAATGCTGGTCTGCACCAGATGGGGTCCGTGCGAAGTGTCGCTTCTTTAAAATTTCCCTCTTTCTTGTGAGGCGACTGGAACCTCAGCGAACACCCCCGCTGGCGCCGGGTCCAGTCACCCACCCTTGCCGACCCGTCCGCTGTCCAATCCAAAAGCCACAATGATGACTAAGGCGAAGAAAGTGGATGTACCTTCAACCGCTTGGAACACACTGTCAGGTACCGCACTCCACCAGGGGAGGGTGCGGCCACCAGCAACGCAAACACACTTGACCTGCAGCAGTGCAGCATGCAGCCTGTACAAATGCACAAACATGCACACAAGCACACACATAAACCCCAGCATGTCGAACTGCAATGGTCTGGCAGCAGCTGGCAAGTACTCTCGCTTCGCTTCGCTTCATAAAAATCCGCGCGCAGTACATACTCCGTACCGCAAAGATGCAATGCGGCTCGGTACCCTCCAGGGACGGGGCGGCGGTCGTTGCTTCCATGGCGCGCCTGGTGGCCCTAGCGCAAGAAGGTAACCTTGCGTCCATTGACCTTTGACCTTTCCTTTCACGTTAGGGGAACCTTTCCCAAGGGCTCCGCAATCCAATCCAATCCCAGCTTTTCCAGTCCCAGTCCCAGTCCCAGTCCCAGTCCCAATTCCTAGTCCCAGCCCGTCTCCCAGACACTAGGAGTAGGTGACTTCTCTCCCGTCCTCTCTCTCACTCAATTCCCAATTCCCAACTGCACCTGCGGCTTGCCTGCACCTACCTACCTTCCTCTACCTCTACCTCTCTGCCTTTCTTTCCACTCACTCCCTCCTCCTTCCCCGTCGCCCATCGCCCGTCCCGTCCTCTCCTTTGCTTTCCCAAATCCAAACCCATTATCCGAGCAACCAACCTACCCATCTCTTCCAACACACCCGTAATCCTCCCCCCCAAATCCAATCACCCCCGACGCTCTTTCCTTTGTCGATTCGCTTCGATCGAAACCGGCCTTGATCACTCTCTCAATTCCCCCGCCGTTCTCGCTGCTGTGAGTTTTTTCGCCCCCCTACTGACCATAAATCCTCCCCATCCCGCTTCCGATCCTGAGCTCGTACCACGGGGTGGTGGGAAAACGCGGCAACCACCGCCAAAGCGGAGTCAAAGGAGGGAAACTTTAATCAAACTGACACGATATGCTCTCTCATCAGGAACGTCCTTCTCACAACACCACCACCACCACCACCTCTCCTACCACCGCCGAAACATCTGCTGTAGCCACCACAGCCAATTCTCCCATTTCTCGCCAGCGGCAGGATCAGGTCCAACAGCCTCGTTCCGACGACAAACAATCACGACGACAACCCGCCGCCGCTGAAGCCTCTGTCGCCGTCGCCGCCTCCTCGTCCCCCGCGACACCTTCTTCATCAAAATCTCCAGCCCCCCGATCCGCAACAGCAATGCCTCAATACACCTCCCGCGATGTCGGCGACCCATCGCAGATCAAGAAGAACAAGCAGTCGATGGCCGATCTCAAGCTGAGACGATTGACGGAACTCAACAACCGCCTGCGCGAGGATCTTGAAAGGGAACGGATTCCGGTCAGCAATGCTTCTAAGAGGTAGGTCTCGGATTATCAATAATCATCATCCATGCAAATCAATGCAGCCCCATCAACCATTGATCGCATCGCCATCGGTCGAACCAGCGACTAATTCATGTCACTTTTAGCATCATTGCCTACTGCAACAGCACGAGGGACTACATGGTTCCATCGGTTTGGGGCGCTGTCCCCCGCGGCGAAGACCCTTACGCACCACAACAAAGCGGCGGATGCTGCTTGGTGATGTAGAGCAACGTATATCATGGGTTAGCGATGTTGATATCGGAACAGTCGATATGCTCCGATCGGATTGTCATTTTTCTATTTTACGCGAGGAATACCAAGACCCCCCGAGGGCATCGGGAATGCAGCAACCTTCCGTAAACAGCGAACGATTATTTCTTCTCGAAGAACCGGAAAAGAAAACAGAGGACACATGCTGATTATCCTTTTACGCGGTCGTGGAATCATCGGAGTCCCAGAAAAAGCCCTGGACCAGCACGGAGTCGAAGAGGAAAAGCAAACAAAAGTTCCCTGGGGTTAGGAAGGGTCGAGGGGGTTCTACAATGCCAGCCAAACGACAGATACCTTGTCCCTTTTGAAGGATCAAAACGAAAAGCCACGGGCAGCAATACGGGTTAGTAATACTTGAGAGAGTGAGAGAGAAGCAAGCAAGCTCAGTCAGTGGAGGAGGTGGGTGAGAAGAAGCGAGGGGAGATGCTTGAGAGTGAAGAGGCAACGGACCCCGCTACGATAATGCTTCTATGTTGTTCTTTTTCTGTTGTTATTGGGAGGTTATCGTTGGGGAGGCAGGGCTTTTTGGCGGGCAGCTCTTCAGCATGTAATAATTCTCTTGATGTCCTGTACTCTTTTTCCTTCTCGGGTCTCCCCCTTATCCACTATATCCCGCACCGAGTGTGTGAATAGCTTCAATCCATCAATTCCCTGGTCTCCCCGAAAAACACAATAACAATTTGAGCAATTATCACGGTTTACGGTCGCGTATTTTGATGTCAGGGGGTGCTTAATGCCATGCAGTTGATCGATCACTGGGGTAAGTAAGGGGCGGATAGGCGGCGGCAATCATGGCCAGCAATGCGATAAACGATAAATCATACAAAGTGATGTGCATGTTACGGATACCTGAAGCCTGAAGGGGGGTTTCACAGGAGGGCAGATCACCAAAACCCTCCTCAAGCCTGTGTCGCGCGCCCCCCGTGGAGCCACGAAATCACTCGCATCTGTGGTGGTCCCATATCAGGTCATTTCGGCCAACCAATGGCCGCATTGGCGGGACCCCGGGGGACAGCCAATCCATTTTGGGGCCAGGTTGAGAAAGAACGTGACCTTTTCCTTACGGTTTACTACCTTACGCAGTAGGAATAGGAACTCCCGTGACCTGAGCCAGATTTCCGCATCGCATCTCCGAAATGATGGCAACCCGATCGCGTATTGGTAAGCAAGGGAAAGAGGAGGGGGAGGTGAGGGTTGTGACCCAGAGTCCTGGAAGTAGGGAAACAACGCGAGACATTGTAAACCAGTCCACATCAGGCCATTTACCTTACGGATAGAGAGACAGGCCTCTGAGGGGCAAAAAAGCAATGAGGGATTGAAAACGGGAATGGGGGACAAGCTTTTTCGTGTGGCATTTTTCTTACTCCCCCCTCCTCGCCTTGCGGTCTGTCTTTCTTGGGGGGGGGGGGGAGTACGGTTGGCGGGTGCCACTTCAGGTCACAGGTGAGAGGAGGAATCTGAGACATATGCAGCGTTCCTTTTGTTTTTTCATCTTGTCCTCACTTCCATTCTCTCACTGTGAAATTGTGAATAAAGCCAGATTTATGGATTCATGCCCCCCCTGGCCGAGACTGGGGGTATGATGAACCGTCCGGCGCCGACTTTGAAATCCTGGAATTGGATCATTGGATGCTGCCGATTGGGGGGAGGTTACTACACTCCGCTGTTCGAGGCCGAAAAGAGCTGCAAGAACACCAACGTTCATTTCCCGAGGATTACATCGGGCCTGGCCCGCCTGTCAACTCATCTTTTTTTCCCCCTTCGCTTCGGCTACCGGGGGGGGGGGGAAGGGGGGATTAAGAAAGAGTGGTGGTGGACCTGTGGTTGTTCGTTGGACCGTCGGTGAGCCGCTATTGCCAATTGGAGTTGTTGTATCCGAAGCCTGTACGTACGGCGCTCGATAAAACGCTGGTTAGATGAGGTCCAGTGATCTGATTTGCTTCCTATGGTGTTTACTGTGTCCAGATACTGAATGATGACTACTACTTCTACTGCTCTCCTTCCCCTATCGCCCTCTCGCTCTCGCCGCTGCAGCACCCGAATTCTCTCGTTTCAATTCTCCTTGTCCAAGGTATCTTGCCTTCTGGTGTTCGTTGCCGGACGGGGCTCCGTACTTCATCACCCCTGTTGCTGCGCCCCCCCTATACCGAGGTTGCTGCTGTACCCGAGGCGGGTGATTACCGTCTTCTCCTCCCACCAAACCCCAAGATCAAGGCTAAATGCCCGCCGCCAGTGTTCACGTTTGGGCTTTTGCAGGCGCTGGCTGTATCACTATGCAGTAAGAAACCTCACCTCAACAGTCAGGAAATTCCGGAAATCACTTTCCACGGGTCCCACAGGTACACACGTTTCCAAAAAATGTCTCGCTGGTCCGGAGTATGTATTGCGCACTTTATGCACACGTACCCGTACGTACTTTTACCCAGGAGTCAGGAACCGGCTTTTCCCAACGTCGTCATTCGAGAAAGGGCCCGGCGCGCAAACGCGTCCCAAAACAACAGCACTGTTTCCGCACGACTCACTCCCCGTCTGGTGCTCCTATTTTGCAGCACAGGACAAGTCCGAAAAAAAAGCCCTGCCGGCCCTGATCCCTGGTGCTGGCCCACCCGTACCTGAATTGCTGCAGGGCGTTCGAGCCACTTGCTGCCACCGACGTGCTGGGTGCTGGGGGATAGACGGGGGGGAATGTCCTGGGAGGGAAGTTCATATGCGGGCCCGTTATTCTCTCTTTTCTGGCGTGTGCCTGACTTTTCTCTTTTGGTTGCTAAATGGGACGTGTAGCCAGATGCCCCCAGCTGAGAGCATGGCTCTGGCCGGCTGGCCAGTGTGCTACTCTGCTTCCGAGTGCGAGTTCGGATCCGAACAGCTTCTTACAATAGGACCCTCCATCTCCCGTGCACGCTTCCGCCGGGTCCCTTTTTTGTTTCGTAAGCCAGCAAGTGTGGCTTTTCCCCTTTCCCCTCTCCCAATCCCAATGGAGGTACCGGCGACATGGCCACAGCTTCCTGTACGCTTACCTGATCATCAGAGGAAAGCTGGGATGGCACCAACCGCCCCTCTCCTCCCCCTCTTCCCCAATCCCAAAAAAGTACTGGCTGGCCGCCAATGACGCAGGAAGAACATGAGAATAGACGCCATTTCCCACACCATCCCATCCTCTCCTCGTGCAGCCTACCTGATCACTACGAGCGGGAGAGACCAAAAGCCTACACATATTAGTCTACACTCCTGTTCCTTATCCCAGGTTACAGCAACGATCCCGAAATGGCCGAATCATCTACCAACCCGCAGTCGGCGTCGACCTCAACGCCGCTGCCCCGCGTCGCGATCCAGTTCTGCACCCAGTGTAAGTGGATGCTTCGCGCAGCATATGTAAGTACAAGCCAAAGGGCAGGAGGGGGGCACCTCGCTGCCTGGTCTTTGGCCATCCATCTTCATTTTCTGCCTTTCCTCATTTGTAAACACCTACCTTTGTCTGCCGCGCGAGGCAGGCCACACTTACACGGGTCCTACCTCTATACGGGAGGTGACTGTTGATGACCTCATGCTCGGCAACATCCCTGACACCTTCAACCTACTCTTCCAACCCCTCCAACTCGTGCTTGGCCTAGTGTTCCCCCTTTCCTCCGTAATTCAAGCCCATCATCCGTCCCTTCTACCTACGCAAAAGCTAGGTCTACATAACTCAGTAAGAACACCTCTCTCACACCACAAACAGTTCGCCCAAGAGCTCCTATCGACATTCGGAACCTCCATCGGCGAGGTCGCCCTACAACCCTCCACAGGCGGCACCTTCACCGTGACGCTGACCCACCAAACCCCGGACGCGACAACGACCTCCTCAACGATTCTCTGGGACCGCAAGACCGAAGGAGGCTTCCCCGAGACCAAGGAGCTCAAGCGCCGTCTCCGCGACGTCATCCAACCCGACAGAGACCTCGGCCACGTCGACCGGAAACACTCCAAGCCTACAACGACGACGACAACAGCAATCACACCCGAAACCTCTACCCAAGAAACCCCGACCTTAGCCTCCGACGCACTCGCCACGGCGCCGACAATGACGATGCCTTCCTCCGCAGCCGCCTCGGACGTGGTCTCCCAGCTCAAGAAGCACCCCGCCAACGCAGGCCACTCCCCGACCGCTGGCGAAACGAAATCCACCTCCGAGAGCAAAGAACAGAGCTCCTCCTCCTCTCTAAGCGACGCAGCCCGAGACGCCATCGGTGCAGCCCGCGCGAACAAGGGACAGCAAGCCAAGGCTGAGATCTCGCCCGCAGGCCAGCTGCCTGGTCAACAGTATGCCGATGCGCCGGCCAAGTTCAACAAGGAGAAGTGCGAGGACTGTGCTTGAAAAGGCCCGAAATCCCTATAGATACAGCCGGCACCTGGTCTGGCAGGTCGATGTCCTTCAGCCCTGCCCTGCCTTTCTCTGGTGTGGCCAGCCCTGCTAGCCAGGCCTGGCGCGCGGAGGCCCGGAGCGCGGGACCAGCCGTAGGTTGCACCAAGGTCACGGGATACCAAGCTCGCAAAGGTTGCCCCGACTGCTACCCCTAGGTATTCGAAATGTCTCGCAATATCTGTTGTCCGGTGGCTGTAGAAGTTGGGGGCGGTAAGGAAGGGCTTTGGAATGTGAACAGGGATTACTAGCGATGCGGACCTGGGGATCGGCACGGACGGGAACGTCTACGCGGCATCTCTGTGGTACGCGTGGGCATGGAGCGTTTAACTAGACGGTACAAAATATGCATTGCATGATTTCAAGAGCATTCTGGTCTGTCAGTGGGAGCTTACAATCGTCAGTAAACACAATCAATATACACAACGAACATGTCACGTCCGCATCCAAATGTCCAGTCAGGTTGATCAAAATGTATAAAGGTTGGCTTTTCATTGCAATCACTAGCCGCAGCATCCTCCTTTGCGACAGCACTCAACGTGAACCTGACCACGCCGGGTCAACCCCACAGGAATGCCTGGAGCGAATTGTTTACAGAGACCATCAACTCGGAGCCGGATTATTAGACCCCCTCATTCCAAGATCGTACACACAGTGAGCTGTGCAGCGATCCCCTGAACGCATGTCTCAGTAACGGACCTCTGCCGACCATACGCCCCTTTTCCTCCAGCGTTACAAGAAAAGAAGGAAAAAAAGACCAGAGTCAATGTAGAATAGTACAAGCAAAAAGAGAAGTGAAAAGCGACACTCAACCCCCCAAAGATGATGACGAGCCTCCCCCTGTTGCCCGGCCGATGAGCAATGCCTCCTTTGAGAAACCAGAATACCAACCCCACGACGGGCTTGTTTCTGCCTATGCCGAGTAAATTATAGTCTTACAAGTGCCACCGCGACATTGAGCTGAGACACGGCCCCCTACGGCCGCGACGCAAGCTCGAGGGCACAAGAGTGGATGTTCAAGTTCATGTGATCCCCGTGACCACGATGGATATTGCCAATTGGCGCCTCAGCACGATGACTTTTGGACAAAGCCTTTGTGGCAGTGGCGGCTGGTGGGACAAGTATTCCCACAATGGAACAGTACATCGAGGCTGCTCTTGACGCGTTATTGGCGTACAAATCACTCATTATTACAGCCCTGGGTGAGTTCATGTCCACCGAGGGGCTTCGCACAGAGGCACGTGAGACGTTGTGATGGCCATTGCAAATTCCAGTGTTTTTGTGTGTTTATCTTCTGCTACCAGACAGCCGTAATCGTGAACAGTTTGCGCGGGTTGTAGTCGGTGGGTGGGCTCGGGAAGAATCGGACAAGTCGAAGAGTTGACGGAGGGTGACTCAGAGGATCGAGAAAGCGGGAGGACGGTGTGAGGGGGTCGCGAGAGACCCGCATCGGTGGACGTAAAAGTAGAGCGGTCGATATGGGCGGGAGGCACTTAACGACGGCCAAACCTAGAAAGATGCGCATGTTCGTATAAACTCTTAATTTCACTTGGAAGCGGACTTCCGGGGAGAGATGACGGGTCGGCTGTTGCCTCCGAAACCACCAGGGACGTACTTTTGTTTCTTCTCAGCAGGTTTCAGAATCTGTGGGAGAGTCTCGTCAGTTTACTTGGTCGGGACAGTAAAATTTCTATCGTCGTCTTCTCACCTGAAACGAGCAGAGCAAGCTCTCGTCCACACTCATCATGGCTCCGGCATTGTCGAATTCTCCGCAGTAGTTCGGTGCACTGAACAGGGTCACGAGCTGGCGCTTGGAGAAGAACTCGTAGCCGTCTTCCACGACTTGGTGGGCACGGCAGATCAGATCCATATCGTGCTTCTGGAGGAACCGGGACACAACGTCGGGACCGAAAGTGAAAGAGACACCTCTGTCGTTTTCGCTCCAGCCTGTGATGTCCTTGTCGGGATCAGACCACAACAGATCGCAGAGAAGACCGCAATCAGGAATCTGTGGTTCGAAACGTTAGTCTACAAGCAAAATCGAGACGAGGCCAACACTTGGCCTCGTGAGGAGTGCAACCATACGTCAGTGGGTCGCATGACGCGGCGAATCTGCTCCATGGAGTTCAGATCAGGGCTGAGACCGCCGTGCATGGTGAAAATCTTCTCGTCGATGATAGCGGCGATAGGCAGGCAGTTGAAGCAGTCCGTAAATGTCTTCCATAGCTTGATGTTGTAGCGGCGCTTGCACTCGTCGTAGAAACCGTAGATACGGTTGATGGAGGCGCACTCGTGGTTGCCGCGGAGAATGAAGAAGTTCTCGGGGTACTTGATCTTGTAGGCGAGCAACAAGCAGATGGTCTCGAGCGATTGCTTGCCACGATCGACGTAATCACCCAGGAAGAGGTAGTTGGCCTCGGGAGGGAAGCCGCCATACTCGAAGAGACGCAGCAAGTCGTAATATTGTCCGTGGATATCACCGCAGATCTGGGTGAGGGGTTGGCGTCAGCAGGTCTGTGCAACTCGGGGAAGGCAACGCATAGGGAAGCAAGACGACCTAGCCAGGCCAAAAGACTGAGCGTACCTTGATGGGAGCCTCAAGCTCAAGAAGAATGGGCTGGGAGATGAAGATCTCACGAGCCTTGGTGCACAGGTAGCGGATCTCGGCCTCGAGAAGCTGCACCTGCTTACCGGGACGGCTTCCACGAACCTCGAGGAGGCGGTCGATTATCGAGTCAAGGTCGACCTCATGTTGGTCCGCCATCTTTAATCCTCACCAGCCAGAGAGATGGCCCGCTGATACCGAGGGGATTGTTCGCGACTGCGGCAAAGCGAGAGTACTGAGTGGGGGTATACTTTGCAGCGGCCAGAGACAAAGAATGCCCAGTTTACGGGAATGATGCACTTCTCGTGTCTATTCAAGAAACGCGTGGTCAGTATGCCGCAAGATGGCGAAATGCTTATTTGGCTGCTTTTTTTGGGAAGCGCGCGGGGAGGTTGAGGGCAAAGTGGTGGTGAGTAGGCAGGAGAGGGGAAGCGCGAGCGGGACAGGGCAAGAGACTTACGGCGAAGTGATCTCAGCTCTTGTAGGCCTTTCTTTCCGGGGAAGAGAAAGCGACGACAGAAATGCTCGACGTTATGGATTATTCGCAGACCAGAAAGTGTGGTAGCGTCTCGCGTCGTCGTTGAGAAAATTTTCGTCGTCCCTGTGCGGGATCGAGTTCGCCTGTATGGGGTGGGATTCGCCGCTGGAGATAGGGCCGTCTGTTGATAGCTTCGCCTTTTTTTCAGCAGGTACCGCTCTTGCCGTAAACAGCGATGCGGAGTTCGTCTGTTTGATTGATCGTCGTTGTTTTGAATGTGTTGAAGAGATGGAAATCTCTAGATCGCGTTGTCGTCTTGAATAGACGTATCGTCGCCGTTGGGTCAAGAGGTGGCCTCGTGGGGGAAAAAAGAGGCTTTGGGGGGAGGGAGAGGTGAGGGTGGGTTTGAGGGGAGGATTTTCGTGTTTTGTGTTGGGCGGCGGCGGGCTGCTCGGTCGGAAAGGCAGGAGTCGGCAGGAGGAGCGCAGAAAATGGGAGAGGAAAAGTGAGAGGTGTGGAGGGATTGGTCTCCTCTGCCTGCGTCTGGGTGAGAAAAGCGTGAGGGGGGTCACTCGTACTACAGGGGGGAAGGCTAAAGAGGGATAGTGCTATGGGCACTAAGTGATCGCTGATGGGTGTGGGTGGTGCAGATATTATGGGCTCTGGAAGCGTTAAAGGCAGGCAGGATGGGCAAGAAAAAAGAGATGGCAAACCCAGAGGCGACGGAGAAAATTAAATTAGGTTGCCTTTGAGATGAATTTGCACTTTGTACGGATATCTAGGGTGCAAGAGGGAAAACAAGGTGAGAGCGGATGTCATGTTATGTCTGCTTATGTTGTTTTGTCTCTTCTTCTGTTCGCGTTTCCGCTGCTTCACTATGTCGCTCCAGAACGGACAAGCGGCTTCAAGAATATGAAAATGAAAAGCGAAGCCGAGGATCGTGGTCAGAAATGAGGCAAGGCGGAGGGCGAAGAGAAGGGGAAAAAAAAATTAAAGAGAGGGAGATCTGTACAGGATAAAATTGGGGTCGAAGTAGTGTGTGGTCTCGACTTTTTTTTTTCTTCCTCAGTCCCCGTCTAATCCGTATCTACGTTTCTTTTTGTTTTTTTCCTCTCGCGCCTGCCAACTAGGTAGATGCCGCCCCCGACTAAGGTACGTACGCGCATCGCTCCACGTCCTCCCGCCTGCTAAGGAAGAGTTGCCCTCCCTCCATAGGTAAGGTAAGCACACCAGCAAGGAAGTGAGGGTGTGGTGTTTTGAAGCGTGTCCCTGGTGGGATTGGCACATTTTGGTGCATCACTGCATCTTTGCATCAGCAAGCGCCTCCCGTTGTCCGTTTCTCAGCACGCCAGTCGCCCACCCGCCGACCAGCCAGGGAGCTTCAGGTTGGGCAGGAGTGGCAGGCACGTTTTTCTCGGCGACGGGAGGAATGGGAAAGCGCGACCCAGGGCATGCGTAAGGTACTGACTGGTAGGGTACCTAGCTGCGGCAGGGGGTGCCTGCCCTTAGGTTTTGTTCGCGCCTTCCCTTGCTTGCCTCTCACCTTACCCGTCTTGCCGGCCACGGCAACTACCGTAACACGCCTACCTGCCTCACCTTGGGTCAGATACATCTGTATGGCATACATAGTAAGTAGGATGGTTGGTTTCGATATCTTTCATACCTAGGTATAGGTAAGTAAGGTAAGGTATGTGCAACATCATCTTAGGCAAGGGCTTTTTATATTTATTAAGGTATTGAAGCCAGAAGGTGCTGCTGGGAGATGCTCCATAAGGATACCTACTCTACCTTATCCAAGGAAGCATGATGGCAAATCTGTCATGGTATTGTCCCTGAAGTGCCAGTCTGGGGCATTGTCCACCCGTGGAACACAGAGAACAAATCCACGACCCAGCGGCAAGGGTCAGCCACAGGGGCCTCATCGAGCCTGAAAGCTTGCTGGAGGTGAAGCTCCTCAGTTGGGAGTGGTAACACTCCATGAGCGCGGAAGCCTGTGGGCCGTCTCCGTATGCCGTGGTAGTGGACGTTGGGCTGGGGGCCTTGGACGTGGTACTGGTGGATGAAGGTGTCACGCACCGGGGGTCATGAAGAGATGAAAAACCCCACCCGCCGGACCGACTGGCTGTTGACCATGGTCCAAGTCATCGAATCGACGGGACCCGCCGCGGGAGCTGGAGCTGGAGCTGGAGCTACGGCTGTTCTAAACTTGTATCATGGCGGCGTTCCGCCGAATATCACATCCGGCTCAGCCTCCCCCTTGATAATCCCGAGCGTCTAGTGCCAAAGTCATCGCCCAACTATATTTGCTGCTCGGGCCTTGGTGCCCACATCTGGTTTGTTTACATCCAGAAATGTTTCTCCAAATCCCCGAGTGAGAGTCCTTTCCCTCCCTTGCAACCAGATATCCGGCTTGCAAACTAACAGTGCGGCCCATGCGAGTCAAACATTTGGACGGAGATTATCTGCCCAACCTTACGTACCTAGGTAATACGCGCAGTAGGTCATTGGCATTGCATTGTGATAACTTCCTTCCTATGCATGCAGTTTATTGATACACCTGTTCTGATTCCATGCAACTCTACCTATCTTAGGTAGGTACCATTAACGAGCGTCTCTGGATTATTTGCCTCGGAAAGGTGTCCGGTAGGGAAGGTAGGTTTGTGTGCCGGTCTGCCGCCTGAGGCCTTCCATACGTCACTGGACAAAATAGTATGCCGGCCAATACCCCAACATACTAAGGTAGGCACGTTCCATCGCCTACCGCCCTATCGATGCTGTCTTTCATATTGTACGAAGTACTTGTCTTTTCTATTATCTCTTTTTATGCTTTTTTCTTCAAGTATTTTTCATAGAATCAATAGGGGGCAAAGAAAAAGGAAATGGTAATGATAGTAGCAGGGATCTAGACAAGTCGAGCGGAAGATTATTCTGTCACTCACTCGACTGTCTCTCTTTCCTTCCACCTGTGGCTTGCGCAGGCGCTGAGCTTGATTTCCTTCTTACCTTAAGCTTTGCCTTCATACATCTTGGCATTTGCTTTGTAAGATCTGTCCCTCGTCCCCAAGCCTGCCACAGACCTGACGCTGATTACCCACTGGCACCTTACAACACAGAAAGACGTCTGCCACCACCGTTTCCGTCCATCATCCACAAGTCTAGATTGCAAGACATCTCGGGCCAGAAAACCCACAAACAGGGCGATAGTCGTTTGCCAAACAAATCACTAGTCTTCCGTTTCAACTCTACTCTATGTATAGCACTCGAAATTCCACATGTTGCAGCCTCTGCGACGCTGAGCCGACAGGCTTGAACGAGACCGACGACGGACAGCGATGACCCCTTCTGGACCGATGGTTCCCCCAACGCTCAGCTTGTGCCTTCCCTTCAACAGCGCAACGGAAGCAATCCCATCCATGCCGCCCTCCCTCGGCATCTCCCTTCCTCGTCTCCGCCTGCGAGCTGGTTTCTGAGTGTCACTCCTCAATCATAGCAACATGATCATCAGGGTCCGACCCCGAATAGGCCCCTGAGTAACGCCATGTCAGACGGTCTACCGGGTGGCCACACAAGTCAAGGCGCTCGCCAATACCACCATTCACCGCATTCATCTGAAGCCGCTCGCGCTCGACACAACCTACATTACCGCTAGTCATCGTGTGTACGTGTCGTGTGTTTCTCGCACCGGAACTTTATCAATGCTGCTGAAGACGACGGCGAATCGTACGCAGACCAGACGCTCCATGTTTCCGCGTCCAGGGACAGTCAACATCTATACGTCGGAAATCCTCAAGCATCCAATTGTTCGCAGGCGCTGCTCCATGGCAGTAGAATATGAGACAGTGACACTCGAGTCCTGTGTCTGCCTTGTTCAATGAGTGACGCTCTCGGTCCACGTTCGCTTTCAGACACCACCCGCCTATACCCCAACCCTCCAAAGACTTCTCCGTCTCACCACTCAATAGATGCCAAGATTAGCCTCTACTCAATACTCAAAAGCTTCCCCGCGTGGCACGGCCACCTGAGGGAAAACGCCAACGCTTCGAAGATCAGCTGAAGAGACATGCAAGCCAGCTCGATGCAGGACATTCTTTCCGTCCTTTTTTTTTTTTTTTTTTTTTTTTTTTTGGCTCTCTCCCAGGCCTCACATCCGGCCCGAACATTTGACGACTCGTTCGAAATATCAAACCCGCGAGGCAACAAACCCAGTGAGTCAGATCAAGACATACCAATCTAGCGTCGATCATATCGCGGTATCGACAGAAGCGTGGTTCTGACACCACTGCAACCACCGTTAGGTGCCAGCATCAACCCAGCCAACTGCTACCGTTGAGAATCCGAGCATTATACTCTCACAAAACGGCTTGAATCGGGTCAAGGACTTTCAAGGGCAGCAACCAACCAAAGGCATAGTGATATTTCCCTACCTAACTTACATCAAAGGCCAACTAAGCATACTCTTCATCAGACAGGGCTGTGGAGCTGCTAAGATGGGCTAACTGACCCCATTCCTTTGACCGGCTCGATGCCTATTCGTTCCCTCGTCCAGAGCCTTGCCCAGCTCTTAGTTGCCAACCAGAGGCTGACGGTGGCTTTTAACCACACCCACCAATGCGCTCTAGGTTCTGACGACCGAGACTTGAAGCGGTCAAGGCGAAGATTTGGCACGGGCACTCAATGGAGA